TCAAAACATGCGCGACCACTTAGCACTATATAGTACAGATTAAATCTGGCCTATTTTAAAGACTCTGTCCAGATCGCATGAACACTTACCTAAAATGCCATTGTATTCAATGTTCATTTAGAAGATCTACTATTATTTCGATATATGTACCATTTCTGACATGACAACCAAGGCTGGACATTGTTCTCAGGAAAAAATTAACTGACAATGAGACTCTACCTTTTATTCCGCATTCTGCTAATTTTGAATTTGCTTTGGAATTGTTTTATAACCATAGAACTACCATTTACACCTTTCTAGTTATTAAACTGAGCAATCATACTTAAGTGAATGGTGAGTTTTGTAATTCTAAACAAGTTTGGGCATTCAATAGCAAGTGCTAACCACTGCCTTCCACCCCACCACCCCCCATCCCCACCCCTGTGCATGTAAGCAATTGCGTATATCTGATGTGCATATGAGATTACAGTAGCTTAAATCTAAGTCTGTTTTTCATGTAACATGAACACTAGAATGGTTGCTAGAATACATTGTAAATATAGAAAATTCCAAATATTAATTTATTTACCAGCGATCATGAATTGTAGCCGTACGGGACATCTCCTTATGATCATGTCTGACTAATACATAGATGTAATCTGAAATGTTGCCTGCCATAGCGGGGACAATACAGATTTGTATTCACTCCTGCATGTAGTGTTGATACATTAGATTGGGCCTTGTTTTCAATCAAAATCAAAATCCTTGCAATCTCTGAGGCATCTGTAACATCTATGTACATGTTTCAGATTCCCAGTAGAGAATGGAGAATATGTGGCAGTTTAACTGTCATGGCTGAAATTGCCTGGTGCATTACATGTATGATGAAGGTATGGCAGCTCATAAGTTTACAAAAATGGTATAACCTTACTCAACGCTATTCTATGTACCGTAAAAACTCCAAAATTTCGGCCGGTTTTAAATAATTTGTGCTAGAAATGTGACGTGTTTTTAGAGTCAAAATTAAGGTGCATTTTCGGACGGTCAAATTTTTCAGAATAGAAATCAGCAAATGAAAAAATGGGGATGATAGACAGTGTGCTTCGTTAGTTTTTTAAAAAATGCAATGTCCGTCAATTAACGTAAACTTCCCCATGTTTCACGGTAAAAGCAAAGGTCGTGGCCGAGTTGTACGCTAAACAACTCAAAATCAAAACAAAGTCATCAATCAGTGAGTATTATGACAAGGAAAACAAAACATCAAGACGCGGAGGAGAGGTCAGCACAAAATTAGGTCAAAAGACAAAGCTGTCTCGCACTACCTAGGAAAACTTGTGAATGTTCGAAGTACAGGTACCCATTGGACAAAAGATACATGGAAGTTTAGCAAACTATCTCCCCGACCCAGTGCAATGTATCTGGTTAGAATCAAAGCTCACGTGTCCCTTATTTGAGGGACCAGATTCTGCCGTAAATTCGTCCTTGGATTAAAAAAATAAAATGGGATTTAAGAAAACAAGCAGCCTATCGGCTGAGATAGCTCCGCTGTTAGCAATGCACATTTCAATTAAAGAACTGAAGACATCATTAGAAAATGAACAATATGAATAGTATCAAAGCAATCGGACTTACAGTTTTTAACAAGAAGTCGAAAATATCACTTTTTACCAAAAATTACAAAAATATTCACCAAAATAAATAGAGAATTGAAGATATCATGACACAACAAACAAACTGAGAGAGGTCCACATGTAGTACCTATATATGTAATATCAAAGCAATCGGACTTACAGTTTTCAACAAGAAGTCGAAAATATCACTTTTTACCAAAAATGACAAAAATATTCACCAAAATTAGAGAACTGAAGATATCATCACAAAATGAACAAATCTGAGAAAGGTCTACATGTAGTATCTATATATGTAATATCAAAGCAATTAGACTATTGGTTTTTAACAAGAAGTCGAAAATATTACTTTTTACCAAAAATTACAAAAATATTTACCAAAATTAGAGAATTGAAAATATCATCACAAAATGAACAAATCTGAGAGAGGTCCACATGTAGTACCTATATATGTAATATCAAAGCAATCAGACTTGCGGTTTTTAACAAGAAGTCGAAAATATCACTTTTTATTAAAAATGACAAAAATATTCACCAAAATTAGAGAATTGAAGATATCATCACGAAATGAACAAATCTGAGAGAGGTCCACATGTAGTACCTATATATGTAGTATCAAATCAATTGGACTTGCGGTTTTTAACAAGAAGTCGAAAATATCACTTTTTACCAAAAATGACAAAAATATTCACCAAAATTAGAGAATTGAAGATATCAACATGAAATGAACAAACCTAAAGAGGTCTACCCAAGGTACATATACACCAAGTATCAAAGCATTCAGGCTTGTAGTTTTCAAGAAGAAGTCGAAAAAGTAAAACATTGACACGGACGATGGACGACGACGGACAATCACTCATATGATAAGCTCCGCTCGACAAAGTCGACAGCGGAGCTAATAAAATGGGACTTTTAAGGTGTATTTTGGCGTCATTTTTCGGACATTTCAATCATTCCTGCCGGCTAAAATAGAGTCTAAGTTTTACCGTAGTCATTGACGTCTATTCAAGAGTACACGTGTATGATTTTTATCGTGACTAGCGTGAGCGGGTAAGCTTCCTTTCGAGAATGAGCTGTTATCACTGTGAACAATGTTAAATTATTCTTCAGATGCCCAGTTTATTTTTTAAAAACAACTAATTTTTTTATTTAAAAAAAATCATGCCGTTTTCGCATCAAAATCCAAGCCAAAAGATCGTACTACAACATCAATCGCTTCCGCATTGCGTTCAATAACATTAACATATTTAAATAAGCTATGATAATTTGAACACGTTGGCATCATCCAGCTTTTTGATTGGTTAATTAGTGATTTGACCTATTTGACCTAAGAGAACATGGCGGATATCCTACAGCATCAAATATTTATACGAGACCGGAATCATTCGCTTACGATGAAACTAAGTTGACTTTTATTTGTATTTCATAACAATTCAAAGAATTTATTTTGTGTACATTATTATAATCAGTACTGAGTAATAATCAACAATTCAGAAACGCAGCATGCCGAGATTTTTGTGTTCGTTTTTATTTGAAACTTCGTTTCTTTAGAATATATTTTCGTTACCAATAAAAAAAAATCTCTCAGTCAATCAAAAACCCGGATTCATGTCTTCGGGGAAAGTCCCGTTTGAACGCTCACATCGTGTTTTTTTTCGTTTTGGGGAAAACCAAAACTGGTCGCAATTTTCGAATAAGAATGAGTCGGCAATTTTTAATGGAGTCGAAAATTTGGAGTTTTTACGGTAGTTTAGTGATCTTACTTGTATAGCGCCCCCTATAGTTAACAAACAGACCGGGACCTGCCATCTTCAATAGAAAGCTAGTCAGATTTGATGGACGCAGATAAAACCACAAAGTTTTGGTTGTATTTAGCACCG